GTTTACACTTTTGTGTATTGTAGGAGGAACGCACGCCAGGGGCCGCACTAAAGGCCGCCAGGGGTCGCACTAAAAGCCATCAGGGGTCACACTAAAGGTCACCAGGGATCACACTAAAGGTCACCAGGGGCGCACTAAAGGCCGCCAGGGGTCACACTAAAGACCGTGAGGGGTCACACTAAAGGTCACCAGGGGCGCACTAAAGGCCGCCAGGGGCCACAGTAAAGGTCACCAGGGGTCACACTAAAGGTCACCAGGGATCACACTAAAGGTCACCAGGGATCACACTAAAGACCGTCAGGAGTCGCACTAAAGACCGTCAGGGGTCACACTAAAGGTCACCAGGGGTCACACTAAAGGTCACCAGGGGTCACACTAAAGGTCACCAGGGATCACACTAAAGGCCGTCAGGGGTCACACTAAAGGCCGTCAGGGGTCCCACTAAAGACCGTCAGGGGTCACACTAAAGGTCACCAGGGGTCACACTAAAGGCCGTCAGGGGCCGCAAGATCCTCCCAAAGAAGGATCAAACTCAGGAGTGAATATATATTTGGGTAAAGTGTTCGGAACGGTTGCGCAATTATTTATCGCGCTGTGCTACGAACCCCATCCACCCCAAGTTCGATCCCCATCCACAACGAACACCAGTGGCGAGTGATTGTGAACCGGTCCCTGGGCCTGAAGTTACACCTATCACATCACCTGGAGTGAGCAGAGTGGTGAAGTATGGTCATTAAAAAAAATACTCTCATCAACGACACGGCGTCGGGATTGATCCCTCTAAATGAAGTGTTGTTGGTGGAGATATCAATTCAGCAGTGGAGGGGGGTGTAGTGCAGCTGTTCTATGAGCACGTGGATATTGAACTTCTTTCGCACCGTACGTAACCAACCGTGCTCATCGGATAGATCCCCCACGTAACTTGAGAATGTCGCGTCAATGTCGTCACTGTGTGTGTGCATCGCTGTCAAGTTGCGTGTCAACATTAACGTCGCCCTTTGCTCGTCCATAGTTCAGGTTTGTTGGCTTCGATCGCCTAAATACAAATGCGTCGTTAAACCCGCCACCACCCGCCAATTTGTTACAAGTATAGCAACGCCGGTGTGCTGTACTAGTAACTGGTACTCAGATTGTAAATGTTGTGGATTTGCTCTCCAACACACCGGTGTGCTGTACTAGTCGCGAATTTCGATTTAAAGCTTTCGTGACGGCAGGGATTCATCTTCTTGGTTCTTTCGGTAAAGTCACGTAGAAGGGAAGTAATAAAGTAATAAAAATAAAACATAATAAAATAATTATCACGACGTTTCGGCCACAACGCAAGCAACCGTCCGCTGTCTCCCCGACAGACCTGGTCTTCACCTGAGGACGGCTGCTTGCGTTGTGGCCGAAACGTCGTGAGAATTATTTTATTATGTTTTATTTTTATTATTTTATTACTTCCCTTCTACGTGACTTTACCGAAAGAACCAAGAAGATAGTAACGAATTGCCCACGTTCTGTTTACGTGACAAAACTTACTAATTGGCTGTGGGGTGGTGGCGAGTTTAACGACGCATTTATATTTAGGCGATCTAACTCAAAAAAATATTTCGTGGATGATATTGGCTGCGAAAACCAACTGCGTGTTAAACTGACCCTTTGCTCGTTTTAACCGAGTCGGAGTTACAGTCCGTGCAGCAACATTTACAAAGAGTTTGGCATATTCGGGCTCGGGTGGTGGTGATTGTATAGGTGCTCACTAACAGCTCTTGCCCCAACATTCTGTTAAGGCTGTACGGGGGATCTTTGTCTTTGTATAGTAGTTGTGGTTAAACAGTTAAGGATGGGAATTAACAAAACTGTCTACAAACAAGGCCTCCTCCAAAACAACTACAATATAGGCTCCCGGCTCGCCTTATCAAACTTAATCAACACGGCGAGAGGGATGATGCCTTTACCCAGTGGTGAATTGTCACAAGGGGCTGACGTTTTTTTTATTTACAAAATGTTTTTTTATGTCATGAACAATCGATAAATAATGAGGCTCACGCGCACAACACTTTGCGTGAACAGCTGATGGCGTTGCTTCACAGGTCCGATAGCAACAAACAAACTCACCATCGCAGGGCTGCCTTCATGGCCCCGAACTTGTATGGATGTGCAGGTTCAATCCCAGATTAGGATCCCGAAAGGAAGTCCCGAGCGAATAATCGCATTTTCATGATTATCATTAACATTGTTCGGCATCATTTTCAGCATCCGCTGCAGTGGCCATGATCGATCCTTTGCTGATCCACTACTGGATGAAGGCCTCCGCAACCCGACAGTGTCTTTGCTCGCCGTCTCCCATCTCGCACCTCCACACATGAGCCGACCTGAGGCCGAGTCGACCGCTTCAGATGATAATCGTCGCCGGTGTTGGTTGATTGGTTGGTGGCCGTGAGCCCGGAATCGAACTCGTCTCGCCCCGGGTTGGTTACTCGTGGCACTGCGCCACCGATCTTCGGCCAAATCCTCGCATCGTGCTGTTGCGAGCGAGCACCTATTGCTGGACATCCGTCATAAAGACCTTAATAGCTCATCTCATCCCTCTGGTATCGAATGAAACATTCTGGTTCTAAATAATCTGTGGGGGTCAAACACGGCACTTTGATCAGACGTGGGGTTGCAGCGAGCCACGCGCAACGACACGTGCACCGGCCACCATTTTATCTCCAAATTATGACGTTTTACACGCGGCACATATTTTAGGCCGAGTCCACTTAGGGGAGGCCCAGGATTAAATGATTTTGTTTAACGAATGTAATCGGCATACGACGAACACAAGTCTCAGACGCCCGATCAGCACGGTTGGCTGCGTACGGTGCGAAAGAAGTTCAACATATATACGGTACATAAACAGACGAACTGTGGTGGTGGATTAGAAGCACATGGCCTGTGATCCAGCACTGTGGAGGCAGTAGCGAGCACAAACTCCCTTCCCGTGGGCGTCAAAAGCTGTTCCACACCCTGGTTCGCCACGAGAAGGCCGCTCAGCAAATGGACGACTGTAATCGCCATCTGCGTCCATCTGTACGGGGATTGAGTGTTGCCCCCTCGCGCCCGTGGGTAATCTCCAGGTGCTCCGGTTTCCTCCCGACGTGTACAATCAACGCGGCTCGCTATCACCACCATTAATCGACTGAAAACATTTAAATGACAACGCAATGCAGGGCCCTCCTGACACAAGAGTGCACGGACTGAGTGGCTTTCCCGGACACATGTTGTTCATTGTATGTATGTATAATAAAATACTAAGCGGACCATATGAAGATGCACGCTGCGCCATGAATCAGCCAAATTATTCGTGTTCACTGATACAACCATTGGGTTCGGTGTGGTCAATCGGTGGTACACACACAGTGCTCTAAACCCCGGCCACCTGAGTTCGATTCTTCACCACGGCTAATATCAGTGGCGTATGATATCCGAAGCGGTTCCTGGCGCTGCGTTCACTCATCCAGACTGACCGGCGTGGTGAAGTATGGTCGAACAACCCCCAGGACTGGTGACGTAATGGGGAGGTCTTCGTCCTGCGATGGATTAACAGAGGGGATAAACATTATAATTATCTGACAATGCAGCACAAACATCCCAATGCTTCGATAATTATTTTGTAAAGAATTATAATTTGTAGATAATTATCTACAAATTAATGTAATCCATTGGAATCTGCGGCAGTAACATCGCTCCCGAGACTGCAAAAGCCTGGCAGGACCCTCTTGAAAAGGAGTCTTGAGACTCGGTGAGGCTTCCTCTGTAAGCAAGTTGAATGTACGAAGTCTGCTATTATTATCCCTGCCACTAAACCCTCGAGGAGTGGAGCGGTGGCGCAGTGGTTAACCCGGCCACGGATCACATCAGCGGCGACTGAAATCTGAACCCACCCACCACTTCCCCAATTTGTATCAACCCCGCACTGACCGGCAGAGGTGGGACAAAGTCATTGTTATGCAAGTCCAAGTCGAGTCTGAAGTCATCAAATTCATGACTCGAGTCTGACTCGAGTCCAAGTCACATGACTCGAGTCCACACCTCAGAGGTGGGACAAAGTCATTGTTATGCAAGTCCAAGTCGAGTCTGAAGTCATCAAATTCATGACTCGAGTCTGACTCGAGTCCAAGTCACATGACTCGAGTCCACACCTCAGAGGTGGGACAAAGTCATTGTTATGCAAGTCCAAGTCGAGTCTGAAGTCATCAAATTCATGACTCGAGTCTGACTCGAGTCCAAGTCACATGACTCGAGTCCACACCTCAGAGGTGGGACAAAGTCATTGTTATGCAAGTCCAAGTCGAGTCTGAAGTCATCAAATTCATGACTCGAGTCTGACTCGAGTCCAAGTCACATGACTCGAGTCCACACCTCAGAGGTGGGACAAAGTCATTGTTATGCAAGTCCAAGTCGAGTCTGAAGTCATCAAATTCATGACTCGAGTCTGACTCGAGTCCAAGTCACATGACTCGAGTCCACACCTCAGAGGTGGGACAAAGTCATTGTTATGCAAGTCCAAGTCGAGTCTGAAGTCATCAAATTCATGACTCGAGTCTGACTCGAGTCCAAGTCACATGACTCGAGTCCACACCTCAGAGGTGGGACAAAGTCATTGTTATGCAAGTCCAAGTCGAGTCTGAAGTCATCAAATTCATGACTCGAGTCTGACTCGAGTCCAAGTCACATGACTCGAGTCCACACCTCTGCTGACCGGCGTGGTGAAGTATGGGCAAACACCCCCACACCACCATCACCACCACCACCCCCCCCGCCGTGACCCTAAACGGCATCGCGAGGAGTCCCTCGTCCAACGTTGGATTAACAAATAACACAAGAACCCATTCCATCTACCTGTATCTGGAATTTCCACATTCCGTGATGACGACGGTGTCTTAAGGAAATCCCCAGATATTTTAATTATTTCCCCCCAACACGGCTGCATCTTAAGACCCTCCCACCCCCCTTTAAATCGCTGAAGAGATTCACCAACTAACATCCCTGCTCACGACGATCTTCTGAGCAACTTTATAAACAAACTGCGAATTTTAACCCGACGCCTTATTAAGTGGGGGTTAGTGGATTAATAGTTTGGTTTTCTTGTCCAGCTAAACAGCTGTCCAAACCCTTCATCCAAAGAAGGGAAGGCGGTGAGCGCGTCACAAATTCCGGTAGTTCGTGTTTTTCTTTTGTTCCTGGTAACAAACACAAAAAACACCCAAGCGAGTCGCAGTTTGCGAGACCGGGCGGCGTTCTTATACGAAGCTCTGGTTGACAAAAACAACTGTGCGTAGCTGTGCATCACATACGTGTGTGTGTGTAACCATATTAATGTGGGTTGGTGGGTGACACGGCGGTCGTCGGGAGCTGATTCAGTAAGGGCCACACACCCGCACATGGCTCCCGTAAACGTGGAGCGAACAACGTGATCACAGGTAAGCGGCTGGGCTCGACGATTGAGGGCACGGGGCTTGGGCAGGACAGGTGGCTAAGGCGACTGTGTCGCTGGTTTACGAAGAGTAGCAGCCGCAGAAGCTGCCAGGTTTTAAACGACGTCCCTCGCAGAGACGGAGCGATGCAATCGGATCGGTGAATCATCATCTCTGGAGGCGACGACTTGGGGAGGCTGACTTTCATCCTAGCAGTGGATTGAGCTAGGCTGATGCTGATGATGATAATATACAAATGTGAACTTTAACAGGGCAGTTTGTATTATAATATACGTTTTACAGGACGTCAAATGTAGTCGCGGTTTTTTACGATTTACGCGGACAAATGTTAAGATGAGGAAGTAACACGACGACCGTGGCACCGTGTCAAGCTGCACAGGAGGTGCACTGCTATTGCGTGTGCTGCTGCTGCTGGTGTGTATCGTGCCGGGGAGCGGTGGTGCACTGGTTATCAACCACTGCGCGATTGGGTCCGATTCCCCAGTGTGGTATAACTAAATGTTGTGATTCTGGGCCAACCCGAACTCGACTGTGGCCTTAAATCAATCCGGAGAGCACCTGCCTTGCGGTGTTTGTAACACATCAGCAGTTCAGCAACCACCCTAACTCGTGAATTAACACCGGTGGGGGGGTGAGGGTGTGCTGGCGAACATCACCTTGCCCCGGCAGTCTGTGAAAGGGTGGATGGGTGGCTTATAGGGGAGGAGGACTCTGGCAAGAGGACACTGCAATTCAAACGCAACGCTTCATCTCCACGGACGCTCTCGCAGGACGCAAGCTGATGAAAGCCTAAGGGTTGTACAGCCGCCACTATCGCCACTCTCTCAGGTCAGTAGTAGACTGTGCATCTAAGAAAGGGCCGTCCAGAGAGTGTTTTGACACCGTGACGCAGAGGTCGCAAACGGGTTTTGATTCCTTACCCGTACCCGTACCCGGCCGGGTACGGGTACCCGTTCCCTACCCGTTCCCTACCCGTACCCTACCCGAAATGAGTGACACACGGTTACTCACCGGTGACTCACAGCCTACCCGTACCCGTACCCGGCCGCACCAGGGTCGCAAACGTGTACCCGTACCTGGCCAGGTACAGGGTAGCCGGGTATCGGGTAGGGCACGGGTATCGGGTACCCGGTTGCGACCTCTGCCGTGACGTAGAAGCGCGCGCGGGGTCACCCCCCCCCCCCACAAAGCGCGGGGCCGCGGGCGGTCGACCACGATTCGGCGTGCACCCGAGGGACGGCTTTCCATCTCTCGGTACTGTTTTAACAACAAAACCTCTAAACGCTATTGTCGGGACAAAGTCCCCGGAATTCTCAAAATAAATAGAGAGGCTAGAGATGGAGTGGATAATAATGAATCGTTTTTTTATTGGCATGTTAATAATTACACTATTCGTAGCTATTGAGTACGAGACAAACCCTTCAATAATCAATTATCTTATTACATACACCAATTTGCATTAATACCACACAAAAAAATGTAAATGTTGCTGTATGTTGAACTTCTTTCGCACCGTATGTACCATTGTGGATATTACTATTGCAGCTTGGCCAACAGATTAAACAACAGCATAATCCACCTAGTGACCCATTCCTTGACCCAATGGAATTCATTAAAGAGGCTATCGAGAGCCGGGTGTGTTTTTAAATCCTTTATATTAAGTTCACTTGCTTGCCTGCTTGCGCGCTTACGACCGTGCAAATCTTTCGGTCGTTTTTTAACCCACTTCCCGTGATCCAATCGAGCTGACATTTTGCACACAGACTCGTTGTGCGTGACAATTTATTTTCGTGAAAAACATTTTCCAAAATTTTACACTTTCTAGGAATTTTTTTTTTATATTTAATTACCAATTGCTTAATGGTGGCAGGCAATCATCTGACCCATAGGTGGCAGCCATCTCAAGCCAGAGGACGAGAGGACTCTAGCCGCCACGCATATAAAGGATTTATAGTGAAAAACTTTGTTTTTACGGGTTAATATTTTTTTGTATTTGCTTAGATCTTATCGACAAGCACGTGGCTGAACGCCTGTGCGCTAGTCAGGCCAGATACACCGAGCCCGCTCCACTGAGAGCCAGGATTACAATCCAGGTGTCCGCTGCCCCTGATTAAGCCGGGTTCTCAAGTGTTGAACTGCTTTCGTAGCCAACCGTGCTAATCGGAGGTGCAGGGGGAAGGACAGCAAACTAAACACACAAAACGCAGTAACGAGTTTACGACCGCAGCCAAATCAATGTTCAAACTGGTCCAGAGTTTGCTTGTGTTGAACCAATGCTGATGAAACTATATCCTCTCCCAGAAGGCCTTGTAGTTGTCGGGATATGTAAAACAAATATTATTTGATGCAGAGGGACGGATATGTGGAGGCAGAGTTTATTTTCGTATTTATTTTGTTACTGCATATTATCCACGGCTTTAATGAATGTTTCGTGTTATACAGACACAATAGGCCTACATAGAGACTCATAGACTTACAGTGAGACAAAGTAGGCTTTAATAAAGACTCAAAGACTTACACATGACTATTACATCTGACAATATATAAGGTCTCCGATTGAATGACCCTGCATTATTCTGCGAAAATTTGTGTACATACACCTATCACAACATCATTCATTAACTAAGGGTGAACCAAGTCTTTGACTGCCTTCGTCAACCAGACAATGACCTTGACGAAGATTCCACAGATTGTGCCAAAGATGTATACAAATGCTGACTAAATGACCACTGCCCCTGTTCACCCGCAGCTCCACGTTGACAAGACCACGCTGATGGCTCCTTTCATGACATCGCTCCTCGCGTTCGCAGCGGCAGCGGCGGCGGCGGCGGCAGCAGCAACAACGTCGGAAACGACGAGGACGATGCCATTCCTACCGGGACACCTGGAGCATCCCGCGACGCGCCTGTGCCGCCCGTGCCCGGCCGGCGAAATGGCGCTGACGGAGTGCACCGCAGCCCGGGAGACCGAGTGCATCCCCTGCCAGCCGGGCACCTACACGGACAAACCCAACACGCTGCACCACTGCCTCCTGTGCCGCCGCCCCTGCGCCGGCCTGGAGCGAGAGGAGTCGAGCTGCGAGGCCACCTCGCCCCGCCACTGCGTTTGCAAGCCCGGCGCCTACCTGGTCGACGGGCGGTGCCATCAGCACCGCGAGTGCCCGCCCGGGTACGGGGTGCACAGGCGCGGCACCAACGAGACGGACGTGGAGTGCAAGCGGTGCCTCTCCTACTACTTCTCGCTGGAAGTGCCGGGGAAGGACGGCGCGGCTCGGTTCTGCCGGCGGCACACGAACTGCCAGGAGCGCGGGCTGAAGGTCCTGCGCATCGGGACGAGGAAGAACGACACCGTGTGTGCCAAGAACGTGACTAGTACGTTGGGGGGGTGGGGGGGTGGGTGCGTGGGGGTGTGGGGGTGGGCTGTGCGAGGGCACGTGAAGGTGTGCATGGTGTGGGTGTTTAAAAAGGTGCGTGGGGGTCTGCGCGTGGGTGTATGGGGGGGCGTGCGTGTGCGCGGGGGTTTGTTGCACGTGGCCTCAAGGTGCACTTGGCCTGGCACAAGCATCGTGGTGACGTCACCGCCACTTAGTGGCGAATGGCGGTTGTTGTTGTTGTTGCACTTTGAAGCGCACGTGCTCCCACACCAACCCGCGTGTGGTTTTTTTTGTGTAATGTGTGCGAACAGTGACTCGCGGCGGTCCCAGTCGCACCTCCCTGCTGTCGCCACCCCCCACCAAGCCCTGCGGACCCGATGACAAGTTCCGTGACGATGCGATGCCCTGGTACCACGCGTACGGCCACGTCGCCATAGTCGTAAGCCCCGCCATCATCATCGTCCTCGCCATCGTCATCGTCGTCCTCATCGGAGTCATCGTGTGGCAGCGCCGATGCTTGAGGAAAATGAAGCTGCAGAAATTATGCAACTCGGATTCACCAGTGACGCACTGGTTGATGGCGACCAAGAAAGAAGGTGCGAACGACAGTATTGCGCCACTCTTTAAACATGTTGTGATTGTTTTTGCCATGAGTTACCTGAACATGGCCACCCAATTCCAACCAATGACCGTTTTCCACTGGCACATTCGAGCCGAGCCAGCGCAGGGCCCTCGTCGCATTTGCCGTGCCAAGCCAGAGCCAAACCATGGTACTCAACAAAAAACATTTGATTCTGGCTCGGGGCAAAACAGGGCCAGGGGCGGGACATAAGATCCGGTCGTTGTTTATAACATCAGTTCGTACTGATGGGGCGCCATGGTGGCGAGATGTTATTTCCCTCGACTGGTATGCAGGAGATTGTGGGTTTGATCCCAAACCCTTGTATATTTGGAGTTTGCATGTACTCCTCATGGTTGCGTGTAATTTTTCTCTGGGTCCCCACACTAAGAAACATGCGTTTTGATGATTTGGCTTTGGCCAATGTTATTCATAAAGGTTTTACAGGTTAGATCACGTAAATATAAAGCCACTTCGTTGCGCTATCGTGTCTGAAAAAGAGCTACAAAGCTCATTGGGCTTTACCTGGTAAAAGTAAAATAGTTTTTAAGTTCAGTTATAGTACGCTGTTAGGACGTAGACGCCGCCGTGCAGTCCGCGTGCATATCGACTCGTCGCACGTGAACGCCGACGGCACGGTTCGCCTTCCGCGGTGGAAAAAAAAATTAACCCGTAAAAACAAAGTTTGTCACTATAAATCCTTTATATGCGTGTTCAATGGGCCACAACCCAGCCCACATTGGTCTTTGAAATGGGCGGCTAGAGTCCTCTCGTCCTCTGGCTTGAGATGGCTGCCACCTATGGGTCAGATGATTGCCTGTCACCATTAAGCAATTGGTAATTAAATATAAAAAAAATTTTTAAAGTGTAAAATTTAGGAATTTTTTTCACGAAAATTCATTGTCACACACAACGAGTCTGTGTGCAAAATGTCAGCTCGATTGGATCACGGGAAGTCGGTTAAAAAACGACCGAAAGATTTGCACGGTCATAAGCGCGCAAGCAAGCAAGCAAGTGAACTTAATATAAAGGATTTAAAAACGACGCGAGAGGAGGCTCGGTTTGCGCGGAGGAAACAAACGAGGTCACGATTGCATTACTATGACCCCACGACCTCCTGATGCGTGCAGGTGACAAGGTCTACGTGCTCAATGACGTGGCACTGAAGATAGGCACCGACTGGAGCAAACTCCTGGGACAGCTGGGCATCAGCGATTGGGCCGTCTTCCAGCAGCAGCACCCGCACAGCATTCACAAGCAGGCGCTGTCCGCGCTGGAGCACTGGGCCCACAAGGACAGAAACAGATGCGTGGACGACCTACGCCGAGGCCTGGAGCGAATCGATCGCAGGGATGTTCTGGACACCCTGGATGACCTCGTCGATCCGCAGCTGTAGCCCCATCAGAGGGGGTGCAACGAACAGGTAGCGAGCATTTTTCGATTTAAAGCTTTCGTGACTGCAGGGATTCATCTTCTTGGTTCTTTCGGTAAAGTCACGTAGAATGGGAATGATAAATTAATAAAAAAAAACATCATAAAATAATTCTCACGACGTTTCGGCCACAACGCAAGCAGCCGTCCTCAGGTGGAGAACAGGTCTGTCGAGAAGATTCAGACTCCGTCCTCAGGTGGTGAACAGGTCTGTCGAGAAGACATTCAGAGTCTGTCTTCTCGACAGACCTGTTCTCCATTTGAGGACGTCTGCTTGCGTTGTGGCCGCAACGTCGTGAGAATTATTTTATTATGTTTTATTTTTATTATTTTATTATTTCCATTCTACGTTACTTTACCGAAAGAACCAAGAACAGGTAGCGAGCACTTGCCAGGATCCATTCGATGAGCATGATGGTCTGGCAACGTGCGGTGGTGCGAAAGAAGTTCGAGCGTAAATGACAAAAAATGAGGAGAGGTTTTAACTCTTTCCGGCAACAGGACAGGAGTTGTGTTAAGATGATTCAAACACCAAAGAGATACACCTATTGCAAGGCATGAAGTCTGAATTAACCGCTGCACATACTTGTGGAAAAACATACACACAAATGTGTTCTGATAACACTGGTCAAAAAAAAAAATTCTGGCCTGGACTTTTGCAGCTGTTTTAGACTAATTTCAGGGTGCTGATTCCAAATCTGGTCTCAGATTTGCTCTATCACATCTCATTTTTATGCTATCGGCATACCCCTTTTCATTGATTTTACCCGAAATTAACTCTGTCACTTATGATTGCAAGTTGTTGCGAGTCAGTGACTGCTTTAGTGTTAAAATATGGTGCTGTATTTTTAGGATAGTGTGTTTATAATATCATTTTATATAGATAGCCACATTTATTTAATATTTTTCTTCTGCAGTTTTTATTGAAAATGCAGTATTTGATATCTCAAAAACCTGTTGTGATAGACAAAAACTGATGCCAGATTTGGAATCAGCACCCCAAAATTACCTTAAACCCGTTGGAATACCTTATGCCAGAAAAAGTGTGTTGACCAGTGTAATGAGATATGCATTGTCTTTGAAACCGATTGGCCGACACCAGTTACAGCCTTCTTTATGGCCTTGCGTCACCGGTGTTAGACCGACATACAACCATTCGTGACAGACGCCCGTCGTCCCTGCTAGCCACCTGCCCTGCCCAAACCCATGTACTCTTTGTTCTCATCACTGACGATACTCTCTGACGACAGCGGAATGTGTCTTGTTCAGGCTCCGTCCGTGTGTCATCCAAGCATAGGGGCATCACGGTGGCGAGAGGTTAACTACCTCGCCTGGTATCCAGGAGATCCTGGGGTTGGATCTCGACCCTGACGCCTGTATATTTGGAATTTACATGTTCTCTCTCTCTTTTTCCGTGGTTACGAGGGACAATATTTTAGGATGTTACTCGCATTCGAAAATAATCGTTTGTGATCAAGCAAGCTTGGGTGTTTTTTTACCAACATTAACACTACTAAAGTTGAAGATTTTTTTTGTCCGTGTATTTGTCTGAATAAGAAGATAAATTCAAGGTCTGGCAAAACGTCAGATAATTCAAAGCAGAAAACAAGCACTCTCCCAATCTAGAAAGGGCAAACAGGCACTGCAACATCCTGACTCAACATAATAATAAATAATAATATTATAATAATCAATAATATTATAATAATCAATAATAATATAATAACCAATAATAATAATCAATATTAATCAATACTAATATAATAATAATCAATATTGGAGAGTATATTTAGTATACTGATGATACTGATGTAGTTTATATTTTAGTTTTTTACGTGTTGGTTTAGTTGCTGCAGCTCCATACTATTAACATTCCTTCCCTTTATTAATGCTAACCCTACTCCCTCCCTTTGATGCTGTTAATCCTGCATAATGCACGGGCATATTATGACTTTGAAACCCCCCGCCCACCTCCTACGCATTCCACAAGTAGTGACTAATCCCATATCTGCATTTCCCATAAATATGCTAAATTCCTATTGATATGCACATTATTTTGTCAAGGCGCACTTCCCCCTCCAACCCAGCGTAAATATACGCTGCCAAGCCTGATGGTGTTCATTCAGACGCTGTCTTTCCGACAGACCTGTTCTTCACCTGAGGACGGCTGCTTGCGTTGTGGCCGAAACGTCGTGAGAATTATTTTATTATGTTTTATTTTTATTATTTTATTATTTCCCTTCTACGTGACTTTACCGAAAGAACCAAGAAGACTATTACAGAGAGTTTTCCTTCACGTGGGAGGAAACCGGAGAGCCCAGAGAAAACCACCACACGTATGGGGAGTGGGGGGGGGGGCGGTGACACTCAGCGATTAACCACGTTGCAGCCACACACGCCTACAACACCTGGCAAGCCCTGGTGGACAAACCCGACCACAGTGATGACCAGGCTCAACCTTTTTTTTTCTTGGTTCTTTCGGTAAAATAATAAAAGAAAACATAAAATAATTATTTTACTATGTTTTATTTTTTTATTCTTTTATGTTTTATTTTCATTATTTTATTATTTCCACTCTACGTGACTTTACCGAAAAAACCAAGAAGATGAATCCCTGCAGTCACGAAAGCTTTAAATCGAAAAAAATAGGCTCAACCTTGCTTAGGGTCCGAGATGTGACGAGATTGGACGATGCATTTTGAGCGATTTGATCGTAGGCAATAGAAATAAATCTGGGATTCAACTTTGATCCGTGCCTATTTGATGCCCATGCAAAATCCCCTGCACGACTGGATTGTGGGCGTTTTTACAGTTAACCGATTCTCTGCAAACCTCCTGGCTACCATCAAAGGTTTGTACACGAAGCCATACAAATATACAAACACAGACATAATTTCAACCGTGATGATGGGTACAAACTCAGAAATCATTGGAAAGATGTTATTAACCACGCAAAAAAGACTTAATTACACTTTTTTGGACCATCTTATCTGACAGGCACTATTTTAATTTACTTCACCGAGTGTTAACATCCCCACGTGCAGTCTTTGATCACCGCTCACCCTCCGTCCCGACACGTTTCCATTCATTGTGTTGAGCACTGCGTGATGTCTTTGATCACCGCTCACCCTCCGTCCCGACACGTCTCCATTCATTGTGTTGAGCGCTGCGTGCAGTCTTTGATCGCCGCTCACCCTCCGTCCCGACACGTTTCCATTCATTGTGTTGAGCACTGCGTGCAGTCTTTGATCGCCGCTCCTCCTCCCTCCCGATACGTTTCCATTCATTGTGTTGAGCACTGCGTGCAGTCTTTGAGCACCGCTCCTCCTCCCTCCCGATACGTTTCCATTCATTGGCTACCACAGTCTGATAAGCTCTCCAACCCCCCCTCTCCACCTCCCTTCAACTTGCTTATAAGGGATTACATCTTGAATCATTGCTTCACTTGATGCAGCTAATTCGGCTGTGACGGTCCCACCTGATGACGGAGACTTGTGTTGCCTCCGAAACGTCGTGATTTTTATTTTTTGTTTTATTTTTATTTTGATGTTTTACTTACGTGACTGAACCGAAAAAACCTAAGAATATAGTTAACCGATGTCTGCTGAAAAAGTTTTCTCTCTTTCACACCTCCCCTTCCTTCCACTAGGACTACATGGGGCGTCTGTGCAAATAGAAATCAACGAAGGAAATTGTGTAGGTATGAACAACAGCAAGACTTAACGAAGAAAGAAAACACAACTGTGCACTGTATTTACATTTCGCGCCGTCGTCTCCGGAATCCGATGGGACATCAAAATGATTTGCAGTGTGTTGGGTTAGGATAAAGGTGCAGCCCTGCAACTGCTTGTTCATGCTGGCGGAAGGGCCTCTACGAGAGACAACCCTAGATAGCGCCTCTAGAGGGCACTTGGCCTCCTCTTCTACACTGGCCAGACATCTTGGAGGAGGTTGCAGAACCCACACTTAACACCACCAATACTAAACCTGCCCGTTGACTAAATTGTGATGGAAAAAACAGGACCAATTTCTCTATTACCGATTGCAAAATGTGCTATTTAGTCAGAGCAGCATGACTTTGTGCGCAATGAAGCTGCAATGCTACACTACTGTGCCACACTACTTGTTGACATTGCTGTGTCAAACAGCTCAAGGACACTACTGCACCAATCTTCTTGGTGACACTGCTGTGGCCAAACTGCTCATAAACACTGCTGTCCCACACTGCTAAGTGACATTGCTGTGGCCAAACTGCTCAAGGACACTACTGCATCAATCTTCTTGGTGACACTGCTGTGGCCAAACTGCTCAGAAACACTGCTGTCCCACACTGCTAAGTGACATTGCTGTGGCCAAACTGCTCAAGGACACTACTGCATCAATCTTCTTGGTGACACTGCTGTGGCCAAACTGCTCAGAAACACTGCTGTCCCACACTGCTAAGTGACATTGCTGTGGCCAAACTGCTCAAGGACACTACTGCACCAATCTTCTTGGTGACACTGCTGTGGCCAAACTGCTCAAAAACACTGCTGTGCCACACTACTCGGTGACGCCGCTAAGCCAAACTGATCAGAGAAACTTCTATTGCCACACCGCTCGTTGACACTCCCGTGACAAACGTTTCAAGAGCTGCTCGTGCAAAGGCACAGTCGCGAATACATCTACGGTGGAACGCTACGACAATTCGCAAACACCGGCATCTCCACTCCGCGCACACGCCGTGACTCAATGGGCAAAGTGCACACACAACCTTTCTGCGAGAAGGGGCAGAGATAGAACACAGGTCACTCCCCCGCCCCCCCCACACCGCTATTTCATTCGTTGCATCGATGCCCATGCCATCCGTGTTCAGCTACTTGCGTCGACCGATCGTCAAGCACGAAAACCCAAGCCGGAACGCGAATCTCAAAATCATCGGGGGTGGCAGCACGTTCATCGTCATTTCTCGAGTGCACGTAAAAATCTCCGACACGAAGAGCCAGTTCGCCTTTTTGCGCAACGGTGTTTGTTGTCTTGGTGCCTTCAATCCTGTCCGGATGTTTCAGCCACCCTTCAGTCCCCTGTGCGCGCGCCTGTCCGACCGTGATCGAACGCCAATCGACGTGTCCCTCAAATGTCGCTCGCCGAGGATGATTTTGTGCCCGTGGACCAGAGGCGATGGTTTGGTTACCACCTGAGCAGTGCCGGATTAAGCTAGTGCGGGGCCTGTAGCATATGTTATAAAGGGGCCCTAAATTTTAAAAAAAAAACATTAAAACAGCAAATATATATTCTAGATTTGAAGCTTTCGTGACTGCAAGGATTCATATTCTTAGGTTTTTTCTGTGACGGTTCCACCTGAAGACGGAAGCTTGTGTTGTCTCCGAAACGTCGTGATTTCTATTTTATTTTATATTTATTAATTTTAGTGTTTTACCTACGTGACTTTACCGAAAAAACCTAAGAATACGCAAACTATATCTTGCATAGTAAAGTAATTGTATTATTTCATTTGCTATACAGACAGATAATACAACAAATCGCTAACCTTAAACACCCAGTCGTTCGTAAAAGTTGAAGGCGGTATAGTACTATAGTAATAGAGCAAGTGCAGAATCACTAAACCGGAATTGATAGCTTGAAAGCATTTAGCGCGAGGCCCTTGAAAGTGCGGGGCCCGTAGAATACGTAGCTACTTTTGCTACGAGGATAATCCGGCACTGCACCTGAGCAGCCAAAACATTGTTGGTGTGAATTTCTAGACCCTAGGGTGTAGTGCAGGCCGTGAGTGATATTTTAACCATACTTCACCACGCTGGTAAGTGTAGGTTGCTGACCGTAGGTGATGGTGCAGAACAACAGTGGATGTTTCTTCTGCACCGCCCTCAATGTCTATGGCGCCCGTCTTTGCGCATGCTGATCGCCCAACCCGAGGGCTATCCAGGCTCAACCCTGCCAGACTTCTTGGATCTGATCAGATTTGAGTAGATTGCATGGAACTTTCATAACGTTACACCACACGTTTAACATGCAATTAAACGAAGGGATCAATGAGTTGGTATATTTTGTGTCGGCAAATAGACTGACTTCTTGTAACTTGAAACGGGTCTCCCGGACCCAACCGCTGGATCAGTGCAGGCTGTAGAAATTGGGGTTTGTATTCTTGGGATAACAAACGTCATGAAGTTATATGAGACATCTCCTTTACCAGTGGCAAAATATAGTAGTAGGTTTTTACCCTTTCAACTGGTACAAAAACTGACACCTTTATACAAGGCATCATGTTTGCAATAACCACAACACAAGCAGTCAAAATGCAAACAAAAAGAAACATATCATTACCATCATCAGAGTTGTTTAGTTTTGTTTGCATGTTGACTGCTTGTGTTGTGGTTATTGCAAACATGATGCCTTGTATAAAGGTGTCAGTTTTTGTACCAGTTGAAAGGATAAAAACCTACTACTATGTCATGAAGTTCATTAATAAGTTATGCGGTGTTTCGCAGCATTGATAGTGATATAATTTTACCTGTGTTTACTTTACTTCAGTCACTGTAATGCTCCACAGAAGCACAAATATGGGTTTTTTTGTTAATATAAATAGAATGGAGTTTTGTATGTATGTACCGCAGGTTGAACTTCTTTCGCACCGTACGTAAGTGGTTGCTAATCGGAGGTGCCGCGCAACGACGTCTCTGGTTTACGATGAAATGGGCCCCATCGTGAAGTTAGATGGCTCTTGTCAATATTGTAACAACAACAACAACCTGATAGCACAAGTGTCTGTGTGTGTGTGTTCTGTTTAACGAGCCTGACTGCTCTAGAGCCAAAACCAGTCGAGATTTGTTTTTGGTTGTGCCAATAAATGCTGCTGGTATATGTAGTGGTCGTAAATGCTAAGAACGATTTCATGTGTAACGCCGTTTTCAACTGTAATTTACTTCCTTCTATCGCGTGGTTATAAAAAAAAAATCCGAAGAAACCCGACTAAGTTTGTCATCCCAGATGATATCACGAAACGAAACATCTGCGTCTGAGCACCGGTGGCCTGTTGGCTTGAGACGAACAATGACTCATCGATTTGCATGCCACAAAATGCACATTCACGGCAGCGGGGAAATGTAGACCGCTTTGTTACCTGACATACGGTGACACATTTGCGAATCAGCAAAACAATTGTCAAGAAACCCCCCATCCCACTTCAAAAAATTGGTGTTACTTCGCAAAGGGTATTGCTCATCAGTTCAGATCTTTGAACGTGCCAGGCGAGCCACCATTCCAACTTTCCTCCCTCACCCATCCCTCCTTACATTAGGGGCCGTCCATAAATGACGTCACGCACCTAGGGGGGGGGAGGGGTCAGACGTTTGTGACTATGTGTGACGAGGGGGGGGCGGTTTGAGAAATGCGACGTCACATCAAAATGCGCAACTTTAAATAAATATAGACAACACGTTCTACTTAATTAAAGACTTTTTAATAAATGTTTTCTCCTACAACATCAGAGTGCACCGCCATATTAATTACACACTACAATGACAATAGTTTAAAGCGATTTGAAGCATGTTTTATATTTTTTTGGGGGGGGGAGCTTTGTGACGTCATATTTGAGGGGGGGGGGTCTGACTTTTTGTGACGCCGTGTGACGAGGGGGGGGGGGGGTCAAAAATCGTCAAAAATCGCGTGACGTCATTTATGGACGGCCCCTTACCACTGTGAACTCTCGCAGCAGAAAGCAGCGAACCCACCGGGTGCTCCAGAGCGCGTTCCTAACTCAACATTGTGCCACTTGCGGCCCAGGTAATACGAAGGGAGAGGGGCGGGGGGGGGTACCTTTTTATGGTTTCGCTGGTACATTGTGTGTTTAAAGTGGATATTCACAGCAGGTTCCATACATCGGTGATTCCTGCCGTGGTTGTAACGGTCAGCGCGCTGGGACTTGCAATCCAGAGGTGGCCGTCAGGTTGCGTGTGGTGGGGTAAAGTGTCGAGCAACTTCAAAGACGTCTCTAGTTGGAGACCCTCTACCCGCCAGGAGTGGCAATTGGCAAACCAGCGCACGGCTGCACTTAACGTGCATCCACTCAAACAAGATCTCGGAATAGGGCCCTACTAGGAGGGGTGGTGGCAGAGCTGGCATCTCCCGAGGCGCATACGACTCTATCCGATGGGGGGGGGGCAGAACGTAGAAGAATGTGCCACCACGGTAGCAGAGAAGAACAAATGTGTGTTTAACACGTAGGCTTTCTGGCGAATTGCCCGATGATGCTGGATGTAATTACCAGCGAAACGTCGAACTCAAAAATTGTAAATGTTGTGGATTCACTCTTCAACACACCGGTGGGCTAAAGTAGTGAACTATTTGTCTTGTCAACGTGACACTTTTTTGATGATTGGCCGTGTCGGGTGGTGGAGGGTTACGACACATTTATAAATAACGCGATCTAACCCAAAAACGTTTATGAACAAAGGTCTCCCGTGCTGTGCCGAAAACTGCCAATATATGTACACACTTGGAACGTATATACACGTGGCTCTCTGCGGAACTCACTGGAACTTTTTCGTGCTCTTGGTCTCTGTTACAGGTTTGGCCACCCCTGATTATAGCAGCGCTAGGCATTGGATACGAACACAAAGCCATTGGGTTGTCGTAACGTGTTTTCGTTCTCGTGAGTACGCATCAAATTCACGCGCATCCAACCGGTGCGTTTGTTGTGGACAATGCGCGGCCACGTGTGTACACCCAGTAAACATTGTACAGATGCGGATAGTGCATTACCATGGGACAATTGTCAACCGATTTGGTGATGCTGCTACTGCTTTGGCAGTGGCGCTGTGGCGCAATAAAAGCGGACTGCGACAGAACCATGGGGGGAGCGGGAGGGGGCGAGGGGTGGAAACTCATATTCGTCAATAACAGTGTGGCCTTAAAAGGGGAACCTATAATAGGTTACTTTTCAAGCGTCGACCTTGTGCTATTAAGAAGGGCTATTGCTCAACAACGTAACCTATTATAGTTTTCATTTTAAGGCCACAGTGTTATTGACAAATGTGTTGAATTGTCGTCATGTGGTGACTCAGAGGTCAGAATACCGAGACAGCCACTGCAGGAATTCTTTGTTTCGAGTGCGAGCTTCAGCCGCCCGTTAGGGGCGACACGGCAGCGACATGTTAACTACCTCGCTTGGTATACGGGAGGTCGTGGGTACGATCCCCACCCTGACACCGGCTGTATATTTGGAGCTGGTGTGTCTCGCTCCCCGGAGTCGCGTGGATTTTTCTCCGGGTCCTCCGGGTCTTCCCTCCACACTGAGAATCAACGTCACGCGTTCAGAGTATTTGGCTGCTATAAATGTCCACGTGTTAAGCCACTTCGTTGAGCTATCATGGCGACCAGGTCGCTTCTGGAAAAGAGCTACTGTGTATACTCTTAGGTTTTTCGGTAAAGTCACGGAGGAAAATAAATAAATAATAATAAAGAATTCCTTTTAATTACATTTTTATTATTTATTTTCAAGCCACGTAGGTAAAAAATATATAATTGAAATAGTATTATTTCAAAAATATTTATATTATTTTTATTATTTATTTTACCTACGTGACTTTACCGAAAAACCTAAGAGTATGAATCCTTGCAGTCACGAAAGCTTCAAATCTAGCTACTTTATCGCTCAGTGGTGGGCCTTGCCTTGTAAAATAAAATAAACATATTTATTAAACTGGATTTTCCAGTGCAGCTCGGTTGGTGGTCCACAAATGACAGCATGTCATCAACAAACCGCTCCCGTGATAAATTTGGTTCTGCGTTCAATCAATCGTGGATACATTCCAACTCTTTGAGAGAATTGCAAAATATTGCTTCGATCATCACGTGACAATTTCATCAAAGAGTAAACGGCAAAGTGCAAGCCCCTGTTTTTTGTAAAGATAACAAGGCCACTTGAATGATTTCCCAACGCGTTCTCCAGCTCTTCAGATGGCACTAATACCACAAATTGGAATACATTTGGGGAAAAAGACCAAAAACTAAATAAAAACGTATACTTGCAACAATGGAGAACACTTGACAAATCAAAGATAATAAAACACGTGTAAGGCACTTTAATGGTTATTAATTTGACGATGATTGACAAGTATCGACTGATGTGGACCATGACGCTAAACATTCATGATGCTTTGCACAACGATTACCAGGAAACCAATGACAATGATTATATCCAACAAGCTGATTATCGTAAGCTTGATGATTAGCATCACAGATAATTATCATGATCATAGCCGTGACTGTTATTATTGGGAACGGATCATGAAAATGATAACCATCATAGTGATTACCATGATTATTACATCACTGATCATTATCGATAGATTTCTATAATAACCGTGACGATTACCATAACCATGATTATTCTACCATTATAGTTATGACAATATCCATGAATGACACTTACCACAAGCATTATTGATCATGACAATTACCACAGCCATTATTACCACAAATGGCGACAGTCGTGATGATAATCATGCAGCCGTGGTGATGACCACGGTTCTATTTTTTGACAGCGACGCCGTTGAGGTCGTCGTGACGGCGTCTGAAACGGACTTCCAGACGAGGTCTGAAAAGCCCTTTTTATTAAATCCTTTATATTAAGTTCGCTTGCTTGCTTACGACCGTGCAAATCATTCGGTCGTTTTTTAACCCACTTCCCGTGATCCAATCGAGCTGACATTTTCCAAACAGACTCGTTGTGCGTGACAATTAATGTTCGTGAGCATTTTTTTCCAAAATTTTACACTTATTAGGACAAAAATATTATATTTAATTACCAATTGCTTAATGGTGCAATGCAATCATCTGACCCATAGGTGGCAGCCATCTCAAGCCAGAGGACGAGAGGACTCTAGCCGCCACGCATATAAAGGATTTATAGTTAAAAACTTTGTTTTGACGGGTTATACTTGTTGTCAATCCGTTGATGGATGATGAACACCTTTTCCACGCCACCTCAGCCATGGGGATCACTGGACCACACTTTGCCCATCTCTGCTCAAGCCGTGGGTTGTCGAAGGCAGAGCGTATCGACACGGGGGCATTGAAGTACAGTACCGCTGTGCTCGACTCGCTCAAGGCAACAAAAGCTTCTTCTCGTGAAGATAAACTCGTTATTCTTGTTTAAGGCTTCGTTCGTTGTCCTTCCCGCGCACCTGCGATTAGCACGGTTGCCTACGTACGGTGCGAAAGAAGTTCATACACGTACTATGCTAATAATTAGCATGTATTATAGAACGTATTTCGCACCGTACGTTGCCAATCGCGCAAATTGGAGGTTGCGGTTGAAGGCCAAACAAACTAAACGCAAAAAGCAGTTCTACGGAAGAGAGTGTTCAATCTAGATTTTTAAAAAGCTTAGAAAGTGCAGCACAATGGACCGGTTGCTGCACCGCCCTCTGCTGCCCACCACTTTGGCCTGCAACCCGATAACGGATAACGAGCGGGATCGATAGCCCTGCTCGGTTTCTCGGACGTGAACTTGACTCATTTACGCCGCTGCATCTCCTGTTAATAATTCGATGATTAAATTGTCATTTTCGCCCATGGGCACGCGAGTCAATGACTCACATTGGCAACCGTGGAGTGTGTGGAATAGACGATACGCGCAGAGGTCGCAAGAAAGGTCGCACACCCCAATTCACAATCATCAGCCATGATCAGTCCACCGCTGGATGGAGGCCTCCCCCAAACCGTCACGGTCTCTCATTGTCCTGCAGAGTAACAAAGACAAAGACACCCCCCCCCCCGTACGGATTAACAGACTGTTGGGGCAAGTGCTGTTAGCGAGCACCTATGAAGGCCAGAATGGCAAACGCACCAGGTACCCATTCAGTCGAATCGACCTAGAGGACGCCCAGGACCGGTTCAGATAATCGTCACCTGGTGTTGGCCGTGCAGCACGAATCGAACTCGGGTTGCCGGGTTCGAAGCGCAGCGGCGCTAACCGCTACGCCACCGCTCCCCACGGAGTAACAACCCACCTAGCGCACCTGCGCACGAGCGGATTTCACCGCGCCGTCTCCGCGATGGGAAGTCGCTCAGGCGCGTTCCATCCTTTGGCTGCAGCTTGGTATTCTCAGCCACCAGGCCCGCCCAACCCCAACACACACACACGCGTATCGTGAGCCACGGGTGTATCTTTAACATGCCTACTCTATACACACAGTATATACTTGCATGTACAGTCTATACTCTATATGTCGCTAAAGTTCACAGTCTGCCGATAATTTGGGCAGTCATTTATGACAGCCACTTCGGCAATGCACTGCTGGATCAAGGCCTCCCGTACGGCGGTACGGTCTTGGCGGTTGTTTGACCATACTTCACCACGCTGCTCAATGTTGGTGGAGGTGGGGGGGGGACAGGGTATCACCAGGGCCGGTTCAGATGTCGTAAATGGCTGGCAGCAAACTCAGGTCGACAGGTTTATAATGCGGTGTGCAAAGCAGTGTGCCGCTGATCCCCGACCCAGGTATAGCATGACAAATGGGGCCAGCAGCTCCCCCACCCCACCCCAAAAACATTTTGGCTAGAGTGGCAAGACCACCGCTTGCCCTCGCGTGATCGTGTGGTGTGCGTCTCATTCACTGCTCGTCAACAGCACTCCTTGCCCCAGACAGTCCGCACGGCCAGAGGGGCGCGTGTCTTCATCTTTGTCGAGTGCAGCGCTGAAGATGAACGGACGGCACTCGGAGGGCTCAACGCTTTATACCGCCGAAAACGACGCTGGGACACTGCAGCGACAGCCAGAACTGATAGAGAGGGTTTGAGAATCGAAGAGCCCCCCCCCCCCCGAGTAAACAATTGTCTGCGTGTCTTGGTCTGTGGGACCCGCTCACCCACGACTCAGACACGAGAAGGCTTGGGGGGGGGGGGGGGGCGGGAGTGTGGGGGGAGGAATGGGGGTGGTACAGGGTGAGACCGGTACAGGTTCCAAAAACCGAGCTGCAGGTCTCATGTCTCAAGTAACAGAATTTAGATACAAACACACTTCTAATATAAGTAACATATCCTAAGGACAATGTCAGATCAGCACAGCTGTTCTTGCTTCCGAGGGAAGGGCTATCTGGCTAAATCCCAAGTTTCTGAGTCACAGGTGCTTCACAACTCCGTTACAGATGCCACGTTCTTGGTTCTGCAACCCAAATCTCAGGCCCTGAGTTTCAAATCCTGGGTCATAATTCCCAGCTCCCACACTTTGAATCCTAAAGCTCAGGTCCAAAATCCCAGTTCTTCAATTCCAATTCTCATGTACCACATAATTCGTCTCAGGATCTGAGTCACATGCTGAAACCGACGTATCGTGTCCTAGAACACAAGTTACCGAGTATCAAATCCCAGTTCCAAGTCCAGAATCCTAAGCAAATATAAATTTCTCACCGAATATTCGCTCGCAGACGAGAGCACATGACTAGTAGCCACAGCAAAAAGTATTCTGAATGTGGAGTGCTGGGTGTGGATATATTTCCCGAGTCGCCGACCCAGACAGACCGTGCCGAGATTAAGCCCTGGTCCCAAGTTTCAGATCTTTGGTCCAAAGCTTCAGGCCCGATGTGCTGAAACCCAAGTCTCCATTCCCAGATCCAGGATCACAGGTCCTATATCACAGGTTTTTAGCCCCAAGTCTTTTGTCTCAATAAAAAAAAAAATCCCATGTCCTTTGAATTGGTCCCAAGTCCCGCGTCACAGCTGCCAGGTTCCCAGCGGCACTCAGCAGCGAAGGGAGCTTTTGCGCTTGAATGGCTTGGTCATGGCGAGCAGCAGCAGCGGCGGTTTGATGCTCGGCCTAGTGCGAGCAGGGCCCTTGGCGGCGTCGCGGGGTCTCTGCGCGTCCAGCTGCTGGAGTCGAGGAGGGGAGGCGGGGTACTGCGGAGGAGGCAGGGGGGCACAGAGCAGGGGAAATGGGTGAGGGCGAAGATATATAGGCAAAGGCGAGGATCAAGATGGATTGAAATGTCGTGATTTTTATTGTTTTATTTTTTATTAATTTTAATTTCATTTTTTACCTACGTGACTTTACCGAAAGAACTAAGAGTATGAATCCTTGCAGTCACGAAAGCTTCAAATCTAGAATGGATTGAAGGGTGTGTATCAATCAATTCTCACTCCAGACTCAAATAATACGTGTGGAACTTTACTTTACGAGGTAGCAAAAAAAATCGGCTGAGAAAACTAAACAGGAGGCGATGCTTTTTGTTTTGCCATGGAATCGATTCACCTTTGCTGCCCCATAGGAACTCCCTTCCATCTGTCATCCGTGTTGTGTTTTCCAGCCCTTACACATCCCTCCTCCTTCCTTTGCCTATGACTTCCTTTTTCTCTCTAGAAACTAAACGTGCCCCGGTAGTGGTTGGAAATGCAGTGACATTGAGAGGATACATACATTCCCATTGTATTGCATTGACTAACACAGAGACCCAGAGACTCACAAAGAGGCCTCCATACTTAGGGAGACCCAAGACACTGGCAGAATAATTTGTCTCCGATAGAGCGCCCTAAACACCAAGGCATCTTCAAGTGATTTAGACACGACTGAAATCACTTCTCATTTTACAGGGCACCCCCAGCGGCAGCTGTCCCTCTGCGGCACAAGGTTGACTCGGCACCAGCCTGCAAGTGAGCATGTCTGCCAGTAGGCGGCGATGATTGTGATTTGTAGTCCCCATTGAGTGGCTTGCGGGTAATTCTTCGAATATCGCCTAGTATGCACGAGGTCGTGGGTTCGATTACGACCCCGACGCCTGTATATTTGGAGTTTGCATGCCTGTATCCCCATGGTCGCGTGGATTTTTCTCCAGGTCGTCCGGTTTTTCGCTCTACATTGAGAATCATCACGCGTTTAGAGTATTCGGCTGCTATAAATTTCCACGTGATAAGCCACTTTGTTGAGCTGTCACTTGTGGCCAGGTCGCTTCTGAAAATGAACTAAGTAGCTCAGTGGGCCTTACCTGGTAAAATATAAAAAGTGTTTTAGTTTAGTTTGGTACCACACCCACGGATCATTGAGAATGAACTACAATGGCTAAGTGTGCCCCTCTCCGCACTGACCTCCTGCGATCGCTTCCGTCTGTCGCGCGGAGACACGGATCCGTCGCTCACGCTCCGCCGTGGATGCTCACTCGAGCCCGTGTTTGGTCGGACTGGTGAAGGGGCGTGGCTCCTCAGCCGGATCGGTGAGGGGGCATGGTCTTCGAGAAGCTCCTGTGCGACGTGCAGGGGAAAGCAGAATTAAACGTCACGACAAAAACTTCGGGAGTTCGACAAGGCGAGAGCTAAGATGCTCAGATGGCTGCGTGCAACCGGGGTTTTGATTTGAGCAGTTGACGCGACCTGCAAGATTACACAGTGCAACACCTATGGGGGGGGCGGGTGGTGTAGATCGATCAATGGACAGATGGATGGACGGTCAGACAGATGGACAGGCGGACAGACGTACCACATTGATGCACACGAGTGGAGCTAGCACACCAACAGCAGGACAAAGATAATCAGACCAAAACTGTGAGACAGTAGGAAAAAAAAACCTGGATGGACAAATATAAATATATCGGCAGACATTTGGGACAGATCTGGCCAACAGACATACACAGACCGACAGATGGACGAATGGATACACAGATATAAAAACTGACAAATGGAGGAACACACACACACACACGGGTGGACAGACACACAGACCGACCGGTAAAAGGGCAGAGAGAGATGCACGATGCATACCAAGAAGCGGACACACGTGTACACCGACAGATGCACGATCGCGCGCACGGACGGACCCACACCTGCATGCGTGGAGGCGTGCGCTCGGCGCTGCTCTCGCCGCGAGCGAGCCGGGCGAGCGGCTCGGGGATGCTGAACAGCGCCTCGCCGTGGTTCTCCACGAGCAGCGTCAGGAGCCGGGCCGACACGAGGGCGTCGCCCTCCGCGCCCTCCCCTTCGCGCGCTCGCAGCACGCACGGCGCCAGCGACTCCACGATCTGCGCCCCCCCCCACACAACGCCCGAACAACGGCAGCGACAGCGGGAGAGGCAGCGGCAACAGACACAAAACAGCGGCGACGTCAGTCCAGCGGCGACGTCAATCCAGCAGCGCTTGCGTTGTACCGTATTTGTACCGCCACCTCCTTGCCCGCGTCGCAGCCTTTAGCGAGTTGGGGTGGTGGTGGGGGGGGGGGGGGGGAGTTTCACAATCCGAGCGTTCAGCACCAACGCCACGTGACCGGGCAGGATTTAAGGTAAGTGGCCCAGCTAGGCCGACACAAACGCAGCCCGGGGTTTGTCGATCAACTGTCGGGTCGCGGAGGGGTTTTTTTTTCTCCCCAACTCTGGTGAAAGCGGGGAGCGTAGATGATGGAGCAGAGTACACTACAACACCGTATTATGCAGCAATTTTCGCTACCCCACCCCCCACCACCCCCCACCCCCACTTGCTGACAGTGAGCGAGCAAGTGTGAGATGTGCAGGCACAGGTGAGCAAGTGCAGTCAGTGGGAACAGCTTCATCGGGGGCAGGTTAATCGGTGCAAAGGTGAGCAAGCATGGGGGAGTGCACAAGCAAATCAGCGTGAGCGGGTGCATGTGTGTGTGAAAGTGCGCAGGCGAGTGAGCGAGTGAGCGAGCGCAAGCGTGGGAACGAGTGTGCGTGAGCGAGCGAGTGAGCAAGCGCATGCGTGCGTGTGTGTGTGCTCGTGTGCGTGCGTGCGTATGCGTGCGTGAGTGTGTGCGTGTGTGTGTGTGCATGAGCGAGCGTACGTGCGCCCGTGTGCCCCGCGTCGCGTGCAGCGGAGGGAGCCGGCCGTTGGCGATGGCTCGTGCCGCCATGCGCGCCAGCAGCTGCAGGCGGCGCCGGCTCGGGGGCGGCAGCAGCAAGCAGCAGACGCGCAGCGCCGCCACGCACGCGGCCTCGCAGCCCGCGCCCTCTGGGCCTGGGGGACGGGTACGGGAGGGGGGGGGAGCAGGGTCACAGGTCAAAAAGGTTATTTCTATTTACTATTTTTATTTAACCAGGTTAGGCCCTATGAGCTGTATAGCTCTTTTTCAGAAGCGACCTGGCCACAAATAATAACAAAGTGGCTTATCAAGTGCAATTTAGAGCAGCCAAATACTCTAAAACGCATGTTGATTCTAAATGTGGAGGGAAACACCGGACGACCAGGAGAAACATCCATGGGACCATGTTGGGTTCAAACCCACGACCTAGGATTAGGAACGTTAGCAAGGGCTGAATTCTTCACAAGGCGGGTGAGAGAGCCCTCCCTCCCCTATGTCTACTCAAACGTAAACGACAAGCCAGCGGAGGGATTGGCGGTTCAGCGATCAGGGGCAGGGGGTGCGACTGCACGGACGGCGGGTGGGGGGGGGAAGAAGCCAGCAACATAGGCGTAACTCACTCGGCACCAGGGTGGGGCCGCTCGCCGCCGACTGGACTCTGAGGAACTGACGGCGTGGGGCTCGGCGTGGGGCTCAGCGTCGCTCCGAGGTCAGCCGGCGCTCGCGCCGAGCGCCGATCCGCCGCGCCGTCCCCAACCGGCGTCAGCGCGCGCCGCGCCGTGAACGTCGGCACAAGCTGGCGGCGCGGCGCCGCCCAGCCTGCATGCGCCGCTCGCACGCCGACAGCGACGCCACTCGTGGGCGCGGCTCCGCGGAGGAGCGCCGCTCGGGGGGCGAGCTCCGCGACGTGCCCCCCGCAACGCCGCCGAAGCCGCCATCCCACCACGGGTCGCCCGCGTGCTCGGGGAAGCACATGTGCCAGGACCGTGGGCGCTGTACTGTCCCCCACTCCTGCACATCCTCATCCAACCGCTCCGGATCCCCTGCCTCCCCGAGCTGCTGCTGGTGCTGCTGATGCTGCTGCCGGTGGTACTGCGGGTACTGTTGGTACTGCTGATGCTGATGATATTGCTGCTGCTGCTGCTGCTGGTAATGATACTGCTGCAGCTGCTGATGCTGCTGCTGCTGTTGCTGCTGTTCCTGCTGTTCCTGCTGATGCTGTTGCTGTTGTTGCTGCTGATGCTGCTGATGCTGCAGCCGCTTCAGGAGGAAACTCTCGGCGCGTCCGACCGGACGTACCCAGGTAGGGAGTTCGGCGGACCCCGTGGCCGCCAGGCTATCGAGCGAGAAGCAGCGCTGAGCCGGCCCCCAGGAGCTCACGCCGCCGTCACCATCGTCCACCGTCTCCTCCTCCTCCAGCACGGCCAGTGCATGGTGGCTGCGCCCGCGGTGGAGGGGGAGCGGCGCGGGTCGGGGGGCGGGGCGCACGAGACGTGGGGGGTCGCCCGCCGCCGCCCGCGTGACGCTGTCGTGCCGCTTGACCCGCACGGGGGCGGCGCGACGGAACGGCGCGGCCTGCGTACGAGATGGCCGGCGGGGGTTGTGGCGGTTATTCAGCTGAACTCGTAGTAGGCTTTCGCGACCGATATTATATCCATTATATCTAACCCCAAAACAAAACTTTATTATGGGTAGCGGCGGTTCGATAGCAGTGGGAGATCACCCCCCGTCCTTGAACCCCTACTTTTTCAATATCCACCCAACACCTCCAAGTATAATGGCTTAAGCACTTTTGGACTGGTGTCAGAATCACCACCTTAATTATCTTTCCCTGGAGGAATCCGATGGGCGACAAAGACTCGTTTTTATGGGTCATTAGCATTTCCGTAACATGATGAGCAACAGGCAGCACGTGGTGGGGTAAAACATGGTGAACTCCTAGCTCTTCCGAGACATCTGTCCAGGGTGCAAGAGTAAGCTAAGATACCCTCTTAACAGGCCGCTCTCCAGAGTGCCCTCTGGTGGACGCACGTTCAAACGTTCAACTTCTTTTGCAGCGTACGTAGCCAACGGCGCTAAATGGAGGTGCGAGCAGGGCCGTGCGTACGTTACGTCACCGCTGCCGCACCTCGACCCGACGTGGGCTGTGGGCCACTCGGCATGGCGCGCTCTGCCACCCTCTCCGCGCGAGATTGACACGACGCGGTCCCCCTTACCGGCACGGCGTCACTCGCTGGACGTGAAGCTCAGCAGGAGGTTCTCGGCCGAGGCCCAGGGCAGGTGAGCGGGGGCGAGGGTCGGGGTGGGGGTCCGCCGGAGGGGGGGCGGGGGTGGCGGGGCCCAGCGTTGGTCCCGCCGCGCCAGCGGCTCGGTAGGCCGGCGTTCCCGGTGCGCGGGCGGTGGCTCCTCCTCCAGGACGTAGCCCGTGAGGACTGCGGGCGCAAGCGGCGAGGGCGAGTGAGGTGGGTGGGGTGGGTGCGGTGGGTGGGTGGGGAGTAGATCACCGAGTGAGTGCAAGGATGAATGGGTGAGTCATTGGGTGAATCGTTGAGCAAGCGGATAGGTGGAGGAGTCAGTGAGTAGGTGGGTAGATAAGAAAGTTTATGGGTGGGTGATTTGAGTGGGTCATGCAATTAGTGGGTGTATGGATGGGTGTGTGAGTGGATGAGTTGATGAGCAAGTCAATAGGTGGATGAATGCGTGGGTGGGTAGACAGGTAAGCGAGCATGTGAGCGACTGAGTGGGACAGTGAACGAGTAGGGAGATTGCGGAGTGGATAAGTGAGGGAATCGGTGGACTGCGTGAGCAAGTGGGTCGGTTGGTGGGTGGTGGGAGTACGTCAGCATGTTAGCGGGTAATTGCATAGAAGAGTGGGAGTGATTGGGTGAATGAGTGGGGTGGATGCGTAGGTGAGTGAGTGGGTAAATGGGTGAAGAGGTTGGTGGGTGACTGTGCAGGTGAGTATGTTGTTGAGAGGCGAGGGAGCAGGTTCGTGGATGTGTAGCCGAGTGGGTGGGTTAGTGAAGCGGTGAGTGACTGAGTGATTGGGTGCCTGAGTGAGTGGTTCAGGGTAGGTGAGCAAGTGGGATAGGCACCGAGCACGCCGACGAAGAGGCGGTAGAGCGGGAAAGTGAGGAGCGGATCGGCGAGCGAGCAGAAGTGCTGCGACACGGAGCCGAACACATCCCTCTCGAAGCCCGGATACGATTCCGAGCGACCCGCCTCGCTGCCCGGCCCTGCGGGACACAACGGGGGTCACAAGGTCACACGGTGTTCGCAGGGGCCAGGCGTGTAATGGACGGCAGAAAGACCAGGCAAAAGGGAGGGAGTTTAGTGCAATAGGAGGACAGTTTTTTAGGCACTTGTGATATAGCTATGGTTAATGCTACAGCATTAACTGTGGCAATCGAATGTAGTGACCGAAATCTGGACCCGACTGATCACTACTTCCCCAAGCGGGCAAATGGGATGGAAACCTCCAATCACACTAAAAGGCATGGTCACATGACGACCAAAGTTCTGTACTCTGGTAGCCCGATCGCCACGGCGACCGAAGTGGTGCTGGTGGCGATGGCGGCAGCTACAACAGGTGGTGGTGACGATGGCATCGGAGGTGACGGTGGTTGCACGGTGATGTGTCCGCCACGTGCACTCACAGTTGGCCAGGCACTTCATGGCGGTGAGGACCCAGTGCGGCAGGTCATCTGTGGAGGTGGGAAGGAAACAGGGGATCGAGACCAGAAAATCAGAAGCAAAAAAAAATGTTTTAAGACACTTACATTTGCATTGGTGCCCAGGCACAGCATTGAGAACTCTGAGGGCAATGGACATGGAAGCAAGGGCATAGGAGAGGGAGGCGGGGGGCAGAAGGCAATGAGAGCAGGGAGCTGGCAACACAACTGTACATAATGCACGGTCAGCCGAGAGAGCAACTCGATTTACGAGCTCACTGCCGGATGAAGCTCAAAAGGCGTTTTGAGTGAAACGCTGTGGATGTGTCGATGTTGAACCCAGCCGGGAGAATGTCTCAAGTCACCGGTGAGGAGGAGGAGGAGGAGCCGTGTTGGTCAGAATTTGATCAAGGGGCAAGGGCGCAGGGGGCAAGGGTGGTGGAAGTGAGGGAGTGGAGGGTGAGGGTACAGGGGGTTAGGGCTCAGGGGGTAAGGGCACAGAGGGGTGAGGTCGCAGGGGGTGTTATGCAGCACCGGTGTCGTCCTGCAGGGTGACGAGGCCGCGTCTCCCCGCGCCCTGCACGTTGCGCACGATGTGCGTGGGGTCGACGCTCGCGGGGTCCAAGAGCCCGGCGAGCGACGGCAGAGACAGCGCCTCGCACAACCTGCACACACGCACACACACACCGGTCCCCCGTATAGCCTTCAACAGACTGATCATCGTCAGTGGTGTTGACTGGGAGCTGACAAACGTGCTCGGGTTGCCGGGTTCGCAACGCAGCGTGCTAACCGCTGCGCCACCGCTCCCCACATGCGTGCATGCGCGCGCACACACACACACAAAACCCGACTCAAAGACTTGTACGTACAGCGCAAGCGCGACGTTGCGCCACTCGTCGGGGTTAAAGGTCGCCTTGGCACAAGCCGGTGAGGCCGACCCCGACCACAGCGACGGCGGAGCGTCGGCCTTGAGGCCGAGGCGCCTCCTGGCCGCGGAGCCCGAGTTCCTCTCGGAGAGCGGCTGCCGGGAGCCGCCGGACATCGACTTGGCGGGAGAGGCCAACGGGAACCTGCGGGGAATTATGGCGGGATTGAGACGTGGCCTCGTTAAATGAACAGCGCTTTTGGTAACAAGGACAAACATCGCCCATATAGCCTTGATAGGCTGTTGGGGACAAATACAGTTCGTGTCGAGCACTGCACCCAGGCAAATCTGTTTCCCCTGTTTGAACACCAGGTGCTCATTTAAGGGTGAGTAACCGAGGGGAGGTCCAGGACCGGTTCTGACATCACTCGTCACCGATGTTGGCCGTGGCCGGGAATCGAACTGGGGTTGCCGGGTATTGTCACGCAGTACGGTGACCCACGACTACACGACCACTCCCCACACACGTGCACTCTCTCGCACACTCAAATACATTTTTGTTGTTGTTGTTGTGAAAGCCGCACACGAATCCTGAATGCCATCACGAACTGAATGCAACAATGCCACATTCCTCTCAGTGCGGACTAGCAATAATGATATGTCAAAACTGAATACCCCACGCCCCCCCCCCCCCCCCCCCCCCCGGGAGTAAACTCACATTCTTGGGCATCTGCCTCACTGTCCCTCTCGGTGGGCTTTTCTAATCGTCGTGTCGCAGACACCGAGTTGGTATCCACGTACTATTTTTTTAATTTTACCAGGTAAGGCGCCACCGAGCTATGCAGCTCTTTTTTCAAAAGCGACCTGGGCCATCCTCAAATGATAGCTCAACGAAGTGGTTCATGACGTGGAAATTTACAGCAGCCAAGTCGCTGAGACCACGGATTTCAATCCGGATTCCGGTAGCTCGCGATTAAAGAGCCGGGTTCTCAGGTGCGGTGACGCGATGGTCTCGGCCTCGTCACCAATGGCCATACGCCAAAAAAAACACACCAATCTTAAAATAATTTGTTTTGCATTTCGTTTGGTAAAATTCCAGCCGTGGGAATAAAACAATATATACCGGTTGCAATTTTTCTCCGCGGCAGGCTGTTTGGGAAAGTGCGGCACACGTAGCGTGCAAAAGAGGTGACCTGAAGCGAGCTCGGAGGGTGTTCCATTGTCCATCTCGGGGGTAGAGTGGGGGAATGGTCGTGCACTGCCCTGCGAGCCTTCCCAACAGAAGGTTCGATTGCGCAAGAGAAATACATTGAGAAGGGACCAAAGCAGACTTTGGTGGGGGGGGGGAGGGGGGGGGCGACCAACCACTTGCGCTCCCCACCGCGCCACGCTACGAGCATGTGCTCAAACCACACACGTTGATGGCGCACAAAGGAGACTCCTTTATACGTATGTTGAACTTCTTTCGCACCGTACGTAGCCAACAGTACTAGTCGTTTGACTACGTACTCAACGGCGACGATGATTGGCCCTTGTGTGTTGTGCGATCGATCGGGGTGTTTTTTTGAAGGGGGAGGGTGGAGGGAGGCAAAGGGGGCACTTTCTCCAAACAGCTACTTGAGTCCGAAACTAATTTTTGTTCAGTGGGGCAAATGCCGTGACCCCATTCAGGGAACGAAAGCCAAGTGGTGTGGACACACCTGAAGGTGGCCCAAACTGTCCGTAAATCAACGTACAAGTCAGGAAAGAAAATATTTTGACTTTGTTCATGAATTTTTAAACGTTTGCAGAATTGTTCTCATGAAGACAGTTTTTTTTTTTTTACACTAAGCACATTCATCAGTGGAGGGGGTGTGTGGTGGTCAAATGTCTGACGACGTTGTCATCACAGTGGGCTCGGAATCTTGGCTAACTATTCCATTCCCTGGTCACGGCTAAAACATCAGCGACACGCGATATCTGAACCGGTCCTGCAGACGCCCAGGGGTAGCACCGCTATCAAAGCCAGCCCTACAGTCACATCGCAGCCTGCGGGCGACGACTCTCATTTCAATATTTTTTTTTCATTAAAGCTGTGCTGCCATGAGCCACTTACACCCGAGTCAACGGCAAATGATTTCAAAGCCGGTTGCCCAGCCGCACCTGTAGAGCTTAGAGTCGTCGCGCACTGCCTCCGTGCCCCAGCGGCCCTTCACGTCCTCCATGACGTGGTTCTTGAGGAACTTCCCGAGCAGCTGCAGGGTCTGCTCGCGCGTCACCGTGGGGCCGAAGTTCCGGTTGTCGCGCAGGAGCGCGTGCAGCCAGTCGGCCGCCTCAGGCGGCCGTGAAGCAGCGGTCGTGCGAGCGCAGGTGCAGGCGGTGGCGGCGCACGGGCATCCCCGCTCGGAAGAGACGCGTCACCTCGCCCCACTGCACACGGTCGCGGGGAGGGCGGTACACGCACGCACGCACGCATCAATACACCGCCGCCCGGCACACCACTTCCAGTATACACCTTGCTATGACACACCATCGCCCTGTGAATTACCTCCGCCACCGCCCTAAGCATCTTCGATAAGCCGATTTAGTTTGGCTGCTGGAGCCTCTGGTGTTTACACTGCATCTTAAGAATCATAAGCATGGCCTTGTGTAGCTTGGGCAACTTGCAGCGGGCCCACAGTTCCTGAACACGCCGTAAACGGTCGCATTTATTTTCTTTGTTTCCTCAAATATAATTATTACGAAAGTTACATTTAGGTCAATTGGAACAAACAAGACAGAAGAAATAAACAAACAAAAAAGACGAAGCAACACAAACGAGATGGCAATAATGAAACGATCCGTAACCCCCGTCATCTCGACAATCAAACAAATCGCTTTGCAGACACGCCTGCACATTTGCATTTCTTCGAGGCTTTAGCGGGACGGAGGGTGCTACGGCTGGGAGTGGGCAGAATGGGGAGGGTCTGTGTTGAGAGCCAAAGTTTGTATTTGCAAGCAAAAGCCACCCTTGGGCCTGTGGGTTCTGGGTGCACATTCACCACGGTGGCGAGGAATTTCAGGCCGATGATGAATAGAGTATTCTCCTCTTAGTGAAAACATTGTCCCGCTTAAATGGCGTAAAAGGCAGATATGCCCCCAGCTTGCTGCCATGAAAGAGTATGCAAAGTGATGTATTGCATTTTTTTGCTCATTTTGCTGCTGGTTAACGTTGGAATTACATAAACTGCCACCTGTATTTTCCATGAAGTACGGACATGTTTTGTTTGCCGTGCAGTTCCAACTCTACATCGTGTGTTGCAACGTTTAAGTGTCGGCCTCCGTTTCAGTTGCATTGCATTCCTTGCGAGAATAGAAAGATAAGAAATTAGAGAAGAGGAAGACCACATTAGTTAGGTTTTATGTTTGCATTATGACTGCAGGTATTGTGGTCTATGCAAACATGACTCCTTGTAAAAAAAGGTGTCAGTTCTGTTGCCAGAAGACGGAAGCTTGTGTTGCCTCCGAAACATCGTGATTTTTATTTTATTTTTATTCTACTTTTATTAATTAAAAAAATTTTACCTACGTGACTTTACCGAAAAAAACCTAAAAATATGAATCCTTGCAGCCACGAAAGCTTCAAATCTAGAAACAATTATCAAGACCAAGAAAGTTTAGTAAAGACTCAATCAACAGTGATTTACAGGTCATTGAAATGGCTCAGCTGACTGAAGACCGCAAAATTGTGGCTAAGCTCAGTTTAACACGTAGGCTTTCGCGACCAATATCATCCATAATATAGGTGTTTTGGGTTGATGAAGCTAGTTGTAATTACTGGTGAAACGTCCGACTCAGATTGTAAATGTTGTGGATTTGCTCTGAAACACACCTGTGTGCTGTACTCGTAACGAATTGGCATGTTCCGTTTACGTGACAAACCTCACTGTCTGATGGGTGGTGGCGGGTTTAACGACACATTGATATTTACGCGATCTAACCCAAAAAACCTGTATTATGTGTTGCTACGCTGTAAGATAGAACCTCATCTTATCTCCGTTTGCCTTAACGTAATGCAATTTGCTCAGATTTACTTAACAGCTACTACTGGGTAACTATTCGTACGCCAAATAAAAAAACTGGTCATCAGCAAACATTTTTCAGATGTAATTCTCCCCAGGTCCCACCGATGGTGAGTAAAGTGCAGTCTCCAACTCGTATTATCCACCGTCTCTCTCACATCTCCACGTAGGTGCTATGAAGAAGCAAGGCCCTTGCCCAAAATGTCACCTATTACATTGTTTTAGTTTTAAGGCCAGAGTGTTGTGGGCGATAGTGTTGCAATTGTTGATGTTAACTGTGCGCCACTGCCAATGCAGCAGCAGCAACAGCATCGCCAACATAATTTTTTTGCAATTCATTTTTGGGTGCAATTCATTCGGAGGGCGGGCGGCTCCACTAGCCGCGGTAGCACGGGCGCTAAGAATCGAAATTGAACCGATGAACCGATTCACCGTCACACCGCTAACGTGGCCCAGCGTATCCATTTGTGCGGGTAGTAGTGGGGACCACGCCGCCAGTGCTCGAAGGGATCTTGGCTCCGGGTTCGGCACCTGAATATTCAAAATCACAGCGGTGATCACGACCGTGGCAATGTGAATGGGAATACATTCCACTCCGTGTTTATGCATTGGGTCGCCAACAACAGAGCACGTTAAATTATTAACGGAGCAACGCGTGGAGTTTGGCTTGCTATGGATTCATTAATTAAAATCATTGAAGGAAGTTAACACTCAAATCTCCACACAGATGACATCATCAATCAATCAATAGCTAGACTCTCAACTCCTGGCCAACTTGTATACGAATCGATTATTGACATTTTTGCTCAATTATAAATGCAAAATGTCACTCCGAAGATAATGTAACGAATCAGACCGATTAAATGAGACATAGATCAACCTTTGCTATCACCACAGCACTTGTACCAGGCTAGGTGCACTTTAAGACCATGTGAAGTGACTAAGGACTTGCTGGCACGAGATCAATGGCACATATCTACGAGTTATGGGTCAACAGGCTGAGCGTGCCGCACGATACATAGCTGGTGCCAGCTCCGACATTGACCATTGACACAATGTCAATGTGTGCGTACAAGACAAATACTTTCTTATAAGAATCAAACTTTTTCATTAAACCACGATGATGGGTGGTGGGTTGGTTAATCATTACATTCCTACCTGTAGCCACACACATCCACCTTGTTTATTTGGCATTTCCATGCCCTACCTAGAGCCGGTGGTATTTTTTTTTTTACAATTTGTTCTCAAGATGTTCTTGTGGGTTTCATTACAAAACTTGTATTTTTTTTGGCAAAGCGCACAAAGTCATCATATACCACCCCCCCCAAGGGTGTTCTCCTGATCGGCATGGCCATCATCCAGACAGCGGTCGAGGGCTAAGGAAGGGCACGTACAGTTTTGACTGTTGAAACTTCTTCGCGGGGCGCTGTGCGTGACGGCCGACGAGTCAATAAAAGAAGGGAACCATCTTGAGAACAAACCGCACACGTGGACACGTTGACACAGCACAGGCCACCTGCACAACCACCCAAGGTGGCCCCCTCGACTCCGACGCCCACCCACGCTTCCCTCCCCACCTCCCCCAGCCCCTCCATTGCCGGCATCTCAAGATGAAGGATGGTTTAACCGCGCACAAAGGATCCCTCCCCCTGGTTTTAAGGAGCTGATAGGGCCCTCATTGCTATGCCTGGGAAATGTTACGGCTGGCTGTCCGTGTGAGGGCACTTCACAGGTTTTTCACAAAGGCTGGGGAAAAAAAAAAGATATAACACACGACACACAGCTCAGCAGCACTACAAACTCACCGCACAGTTCACCGCCACCACTGCAACTCACGACACAGCTCAGCCCAGATCCGTAGGGTTTTAGGGGAATATTGCATATTTTTGCATATTCCACTTTGCACGGTCTATCCCGCTTGTAATTATATTTTCATGAATATCTCTCAATGATGTTACATATCTCACAATATCGTATACCCCGATATACCCCGAGTTATTTGCACATAAGGACATAGCCCAGGATGCTATCCGTATTAACATGGACGCTGCCCTAAATCGACTGGCTCAATAGCTCGTTTATAATTCGGCCATATGGTGCATTGAGGACTGAGGGCTGTTAAATTCCTGTGCTCCACTGTCCAGGCACTAAGTGGATTGTTACATCGCATGGCCACAAGAAATGGTGGCAGCGTGGGGAGGACTTCATGCATCAGTGGATTGATCATAACCGATGATTATTATGAATGTCTTAAAAGCAAGTGTCCAAAAACGCAATGGGTAGTGCTTCAGAATATTTATTTTATCAGAATCTTTATTTATCCTGGAGAAATCCGATGAGCTATGAAGCTACTTTTCACAAATGTCCAGTAGGGGCAGGTCAGAAAGTTACAACAACAATATAAAAACGAAAGGAGTGCAAAGCATAGAAAAGGTAAGCAAATCACTAATAAATAAATAAAACTGGTAAAGTATACAAGCTCAAATTCCATAAGTAACCCAATTGGCAAGTTTGGGCAAGGCAGCAAAACAACAGAAAAAACTGTCCCAGACGACACCAAGGCAACAACACACAGTCCCTCAACAAAATTGCACATTGAAATTTAACTGTCGATACATGGATAAGGATGAAAGTTACAAATCACATGTTGCAAAAGCGCTTATTTCCATTGGCGGTCCCCGACCCAGCGGTGGAAATTCCACATTCCCATGGTGGAGACCAGTCCACCTCAAGCACGACCGCTGTTCAATTCTCACAAAGCGGTACTCGTTTTTAATCGACTCTGGAGATATGATGATGGGCCCAAATCTTGACTTAAAGCTTTCATGGCTGCAGGAATTCATATTCTTTGGGTCTTTCGGTAAAGTCACGTAGACCCTATCTACGTTCAAAGAACCTATCTACGTGACTTTACGAAAAGACCAAAATAATATGATGGGCCCAGTCGACCCCTGACTGGAATTTTAACCCCCATGACCTTTCTTGCTTTGAGTCAGGCGCCGGTGCGGAAATGTGTGTGGGGGTGGTGCGGCCATAAACGTGCAATGTCTGACCGCCTTTGTCTCCCCGGTAACTGGTGTTCATGCCCAGCGGTTTAACAATTCACTTCCGCTGTGGTTTGATGAATTGCCGTGATTAGGGTTTACAATCTAACTTAAAGAGTCAAAATATTTGCCGCTGTGTTTCATGTGGCGGCAAATCTACCGGCGTCAGTTCGATGCAACATATACGAACTGAAACACATTATTACTCACGTTATTCAGTGTATCGTGAGCTTAAGCATCGATGTTAATCAACAAGCCGACACGTTGTTACCCGCCAATGCGAGACAATAGGAGGGACAGCGCTGTACTTAGCGCACTGCACGAT